CACACACACACACACACACACACACACACACAAGTAACAAATTAACAGAAAAGAAACTAAAAACAAAAGAAAAGGCAAAGTCAATAATAGAAAACAGTCGGCTAGAACATCACAAAGGAAAGTCAAGAAAACCCAAATTATAGCAAAGCGCCCTTTGCATGAAGTCAATAAATAAAATCCTTAAAAATAACTGAACCAAAAGAAAACAAAGGTGAGATTAACAAACAAAATATGTAAAAATTTATTTTCGGCACACAATGCACGCCCTCTCAGCGTCTCTATGTCTGTCTATAATACATGTGTTTAAATATCCATAGATTACAACCTACTATGGGAGTGCTTAAAAAGCCCAAGTAATGAATACCTATAAGTAAATAAATAAACGAGTAAGTAAACGAAAATAGATAAATAAATTTTTTTAAATTTTAAAAAGATAAATTAATACATTTTTTTATAAACTTTATTGCGCTACACGTTTCATCAACCCGAGACGAAATGAGAACACTCCACCATCCTTTATTGCCTTCAGAACGTTATATACAAAATTGTGATGTATGACCTTCCCGCGTGTGCAATTTTCGAGTATGGCGAAACCAATGATGTATCTTTCACGAGACGACCTTATTACCGCAAAAACCACATCTCGGTCTTTCACTTTTTTTCTCACCTGATTGTAGCCCTCGGTCTAACTAAGGCTATTTTTGTTTTTTAGTGAATGGTGAAAGCGATACGCTTTCTTTCCCTCCCTTGTATAAAAATAAGAGTTCCAGTTTCCAGTTTGCCTGGAGAATGGGAAGTGGGAATTTCCTTCCCGGAAAAGGGAGCAGGCAGCAGGTGTTTTGTGAGAAATGAGGGCAAAGCGTAGGATTGTTAGGTCTAGAGTTTAGACATCAATAATATGGCGCGGTACTCTCTCCTCTCGCTCACAATAACAACCCCGTCAACGGATCGTAATAAATCATCACATCTCGTGTTGAGTCTTTACTTTTACTTTTACTTTTATCCGCCGCTTATACCCTTTTGGGTGTCGCGGGAAGAAAGAGACGTCTCTCTGTCGCCAGCCGGAGAGCTTGGGTCAGGGGGTTACCGCGTGTGTTTAATGTTTCCCTGACTCCATCTATCCAGGTCTTTCTCGGTCGCCCTCTAGCCTTGTTGCCATCGAATTTTTGGAGGTTGGCACGTTGTGCTGGATGGTATGTTGGTAATCGTACGTGTTGAGTAAAGAAAGTAAATACAATGTATAGGCCTACCATGCAGTGCATTCTGGCCACTGACCTAGGAGGTTAGGCTACATTTGTTGTAAGCTCCTTGCTGCTGACCTAAAATAGGTCAACGATTCTGGTTCAGTACACGCGCACTTCATTTGCAATGAATGACTCATTTTCGTGTGTTACCATAGAGTTTTGTGTTACGGTTACCCGAACCTGTTTCACCCCTACCTTCACATTCGCCCAGCAATATCCTCCCCCGCTCTCTCTCTCTCTCTCTCTCTCTCTCTCTCTCTCTCTCTCTCTCTCTCTC